CTTGCGCTTGCCAGGCAGGCACTGTGCTGCTGAGCTAAATCCCCAGCCCCCTGGAATAGTCTTTTGAAAGCAGAGTTGTAGCACAAGTTAGATGGCAATAGCTTGCAGGAGAGGGCAGGTTTTTTCAACTGGTTGTGTATGTTTTAAGTCACCATCTACTATACGGTACCATTTTTCCCACAGCCAGGATTTATGGTCCTGCAATTAATGATCCAGGAATGAAAGGATGAATTAAGAGTGGTACCACTCCCACCTGTGGTGATCTGCTAGCAAAATTTTTATACCCTGTTCTCATGACTTTATGCTCTGCTGGCATAGAAAGAATTCTTCATTCCAGAAGGGGAAAGGCCTGTGCCAGGAAGCACAAGTATGATATCATTGAGCTGGAAGTGAAGACTTCCACTGGTCATATTGGTATTCTTGTGACTCTGAGGAAACAAGTTAAGAAGGGCATTACAGTGCTGAGCAGACTGATTGACTCAGACTGCCATGGCAGAATTAAACTATTACTTCACAATAGAGGAAAAAAAGGTAAACTTAGCATTCAGGTGATGCCTTGGGATGCCTGCTAGGATACCATACCCTCTTATTAAAGTTAAGGGGAAACTATAACAATCCAATCTGGCAGAATGTCCAATGGTCCAGAAATTTCAGTGCAAAAGGTATGGGTCACAATACGAAGGGAAGAACTAAGACCAGCTGAAGTACATCTTCAAAGCCAAAGAAATACAGAATGGATAGTACAATTTTGTTCTAAACACAAGATATTACCCTGTGATCTCCTAAAATGAGGATTATAATTTAATAGTTCTTTCCTAATATGCTTGCATTGTAGTATAATATCAATAGACTTAATACTGTTTAAATCTTACTCAACCTATGTTAGAATATTCCAGATATGAAAGGTTTGAGTAAGCATTACACAAGGAAAACTTCCGTTCTATATTGGGAAGGAATTAGTGTATTTCTTCTTAAATATGGGACAATTATAACATGTTAGATATATTTATGAGATTCTCTTTTATTCAGAGACTCTGGCTTAAAGAAATGTGTTTGGCTGTGAAGTTGTCAAGGGGTGGATTGTGATAGTTAACAGATTGTGTCTACTTGAGTACTACATGTCCAACTAAATTTTGCTTACAAAGTTCTGGGTGTACAAGATCAGCCATAGGGATGCTTGTTGCCAGAATGTTATAAAAAAGAAAAACAAAGGGAAGGTTTTGTTCTGTTTTGAGGGAGGAGCTCTATACTCATTCTCACCTTGGAAGTCATCTCCTGGCTTCCAGTACAGACTCTTCATTGTCCAGATCAGACAATTCAGTTTTCTTGCACAGATAATCGGTTCTCCTGCTAGATTTTCATGGGACATTACAGGACTCTAGGCCTTCTATTGGATTTTTTGAAATCCAGTTTGCAGACAAAAGCTTTTGCACGCTTCTACATCTGATTCTTTGGGCAGCCATTGCAAGTAAATCTTGTAAATTCTTATTTTTTGTATATCTCACACTAAATATTTTTCTCTATTTGGTACTGACTTACACACGTGTTCCATCTGATCTGTCACAATCAGAATCAATACATTCTAGGATAACTCCATCAGGGAGTATGTTTATTTTTTCATACAAATGGTAATAAAAATAATACAAAGTTACAAGTCATGTCAATGTAAGCATGAAAAGTAAAATGGTGATAAGAATAGTTTACATAAATCATAATATTGACCCCAACATAAAAGCAAAATAGGTGAATTTATGCACTTGACATATTATTTTGATATATATATATATGTATGTTGTCGGGACACAAAAAATGAAGTATTTGGTAATCAACAAGGTGAGAAAACAAATGAACTTTTCAAAAATATATATTCACATGTCTCTAAATATGTATATATAT